CGTCGGCTGTGCCTAATGAACGTCTTGCTTCTGCCGTTTCGGCTGTATCGGATTACAGAAGTGCTTTGTTGGACCTTGCAAATCCTTTTACAACTCTTTCATGTCAAGTACTTCTTTCCGACTTCTTGGAAAAAACCCAAGATTTACTAAAATTACATTTTAACCCGTATATATTCTCAGTTTATTTTTATTATTATCAGTACCTTTTTTTTTTTTTTTTTTTATTAAAATATTAAAAATTTTAATATTTATTTAATAGGTATAATAATCCAACTAATGATGTAAAATCGTTAGTATTTTAATCTCATTTTAATATCATTTAAAACTATCCTGATTCTAGTAAATAAATTTTCTTTTTAATTACAGTGCTATTAGTGGAGTTTCTCCTTTTCAAATCACTGGTGGCGCAATTCAGCCTTTTGATAATGATGTCAGCTTTATCGAAAACCTATACCGTCAAGCGGCTGGTCAATATAAACCTTTTGATAAAGCTTCTCATATTGCTGGATTTCTTACTCCTTTTGGTTTTAAAGAATATGTACGTCATAGAATTCCTATGAAACGTGTCATTAATGGTGCCTACATCTGTTATGTCGATCCTTTAAATAAAACTTATTATTATACTACTCTCATTCTTGATGAATTTCGCTTTAAAATTCTAAAAAATCTTTTAATTTATGAAATTATCTCTGGAAAAGCCGCTTATATTCACAGTGCATTATATTTTTATATGAGCATGTGTACTTGTGAAGAAGATTTTAATTTGATGAAAGAGTATGGTGTTATTTCATGGGGCTTTCCAATGAAAGGTTATGAAGAATTTCGTGAATTGATGAATGAGTTAATGAATATAATGTATTGTTGGAAATTTTCTAATACTTGGTCTTGGCATTCTGAAATGGTTAAAATCGCAAAATTTAAGGTTAAAAAGCAAGATTCTTCTAATTGGTCTGACTTTGCTGCATCGTGCTATTCCATAGGTTTGTTAAAGCAAAATGTATCTTTGGCTTTTTATAAAAGCCTTTCTGCATAATTATTTATATATTTTTTTGCATTTATTTAAATTTATTCATTTTATATATATATCATTCATTTTATATATATCATTCATTTTCATCATCTTGCATTTACTCATTATTTAGCATTTTTTCTTTTTTTTTTAATATATGTTTATTATTCATTACATTTTATGGCTTGTTAAAAGTTATTGTATTAATTACAATATTTTTTTTTCGATGTCCTGTATATCATTTTAAAACGGCTTGCAAATTATTAAATAATAAACATTCTTTTTATTATTAAATAATTGAATTCTTGTTTCATAATTAACTTATACTAGTTAAAAAATGCTTTTGTATTTTTAACTAGAGACCATCAGTAATCCGGTGAGCAGTAATAACTTTAGATGAAAAATTAACTTCTACTTGTTATGCTTTCAAAGTTTATACTCGAGTTTTTTTTTATTTTTTTATTGAAGGAAAGTATCACGACTTAAATAATTATCTTTTTATATAACTGAATAATTCAGTTAACAATGCTTTTAATGTTATTTAGTATAAATAATTACAAATTATTTATATAAAAAAAAATTTATATAGAGAAAAAATCATCTTTTGCTTTACTGTTATATTTGCCAACACTAGCGATAATAAAAATAATAATACTCAAACTATTTTTTTATTCTAACTATTTCTCTAATTTTTAGTTCTCATTCGAATATTAATTATGGATTTTTGAATATACAAATTAATGTCATTAAAATTATTACAAAACCTTTAATTTATTATTAAATTAATCTGCACTATTTTATTTTTCTTTAAATTATCGGCATAGTTGATTTCAACTTTTTTATCAAGGAATTACGCTATGTTTTCAATTTTTCAATTTTTGGTTTCAGGTAAAGTGTATAACTATTCTATATAATAACATATTCACCATAAAACAGATCTCGCTTTTTATTTGTCTTGATAGTATTCAGGAAAAGTTTATTCCTTGTTGATTATGAAGATTAATATTCTCGTATAATTGAAGTAAAATCAAGATTTCTAACATATTAACCTTTTTGTTTTTGTATCTTCTAGATGCTTTCTGTTTACTGATATGATAAACAGACTTAAATTTAAAACATCTGAAGAAAATTAAATAGAATTTATAATAATACTTCTTCTTAGCTCAAAACCTAAAAAAATAAAAATATATATATATATAAATATATATTGTTTTTTTAAAAAACAATCTTTATATACTTTCAAAATTGTTTACTTTCTTACGTTGTTATTTCTGCTTAATTTTCTAATTTAATTAGATTTTCTAAAGTTATTTTTATTGTTAGATTTTTAAAATAAAAAATAGCTAAATTAAGATTACTTGTAAAATAAATAATCAAAGACAATATAACTATCTTTTTTTTTTTTTTTTTTTTTTTTTTTTATAATGCCAAAATAGAAACTTTAT